CTCATCACAACATTGTTCTCTTGAGTGGGCAGAGATCTGAGTGCACCAGAGAGTGTCAGTCAGTCTTTTAACGGATGTAGCAAATCTGTAATTACCAAACTTGCCTCTGGCCTGCAGAGAGGACACAGTGGGACTGATCAAGTCTTGCTACTATCAGCTCCACTGGTGCTTTTTAGCCAGGTCTTATTCGCCAGAATTAAGTTTATGCACTCCGGTTGTGGATGGAAATGATAACCTACAGTCATCAGCTGTGTAAAAACGGATATTAGAGATTATTATGGACTAATTTAAGTGAATGTACAAGGCAAAAGAGGATGGTGTCACATTTCATGTTAGGAGAAGCTTGGTAAATCCCAGCTGCTTTGTCAAGTTCATGAACTAGATTTCAGTAATATGAAACGTGGTTTTTTCTTGTGAATTTTTTTGCCCTTGAAACTTTTGCCTTTATTTATTTTTCCGAATTAACATTTGAGTGAGTCCTTCCTAAACTTACGAGAGTAAACCAGAAGAATCAATATGTCACAAACCTCTGTTTAAGTGTGGCAAACAGCAGCGGTGGGAGGGCAGTGCCTGTTGAGCAATGGAACATCTTGTGGTAGTCTAGATTTAATGATACAGCAAGGCACAGCTGTGGGTAAGAACTTTCGGTAAACCACCTGATGTAAGTACAGAAAGCAGACAAGTAGCAGGGCACTTGAGTTCTGTGGTCTGTCAGGCCTTCTACAACTGAAAAACTTGTACAGCCTCACCCCTGTTCTGTCCCGCTGTCATTAGGCCCTTGCAAGTCATGCTTCACTGACGTCCTGTTCCCAGCTACTCATGTCTGCCTTAAAACCACAATATGTATTCAAGTCTGAGGCAACTGGTACCAATAATGTTTGAGAAGTACCCATGGATGTCTAGGGTTAGGGCAGGAGTGTGGCCTGTAAATGGCAAAACAATACATCAAATTCAGTATGGTGGAAAAAAAGGTAAATTTTTAATAAGAAAATTGCATACAGCAATATCTTCACAGTGACTATGAGGAAAAGGACAAGAAAGGTAGAATGCAGTAAAAAATAAAGAGCAAACTACAAAGAGGGAGTACGTTTTTTTAGGAAGTTTTTGTAGGTGGTGAAAAACTAACTACAAATCTTAGCTATAAACCTATATTGTCATTTCCATGTTTCATGTGTGTGTGTTAGAGTTGGATGCTAACAAACTGCATCGTTAGTGTATAATAGCACGATCTGAATGAAGGGTAGAAGTAATGTATGGAGTCTTAGTGTCATTCCTGTACCTATAATTTTTTAAGAAGGAATGCTAACAAAGAAATAAGTCTACTAGCTCTGTCAAACTTCTGAGTATAGTGGTAGCAGATGAACATACATAATCTTATTTAAAAAAACCCCTAAGATTTGTGCACTTGCACTTTCTGTACATGTGCTTATCTGTCAACAAATCTGACCATGAGGTATAGATCTCAGCTAAATTGTAGATTGATGGAAACAAGCAGCCAGGCAGGGGCACTGTGCTAGAGTCCCTGCAGAGAGATAAGCCGCAGCCTGAAATCGATCGTATTAGGCTCAGTTTCAAAACATCAATCCAGAAAAAGCAAGGTTTTACTCTTTCTGTGGCGTCTGTTTGACTTGGACACAGCACAGCTCCTGGAGTGGTGGGAACATTCCCATTTCGTGCAGTCCTGTCAGGCAAACAAATTATCCACAGGCTTACATAAGATGGTCTAGGTGTGCGTCATTTCTTATATTTTCTCCATATAATGCTGCTTCTGTCAAATAAATGTCAAAATCGTGACATTCCTGTAAAAGAACTGTAAGAGAACAGACCAATATAATTATTGGCAAAGAAAGTATCTTTAACTTTTTAGCTGCTGGTTTATTATTCCTACTCCAAAGCAGTCTCAAAATTTTCAAGAACTATTCTAGCAACTCTCTGAAGCTGCTGACAGCTGAAAGCTATCTCTAGGACACCTGGGAGAGAAAATGCAGGGAGGTTTTTCCTAAATCTACTGAAACACATCAAGGGTGAGGAGTTTATGTTGACATAGAAGTATTTTACTCAGTATGAACTTCCTTAAATGAAGATATTTGAAACGTAGAAAGTAAACAGATGAGAATGAATAAACCAGGTTGCCATGCAGTTCTGGCAGACCCATGGTTACTGTGTCTATTGGTAACCCCTGTCATGAGTGATGGGAAGGTTACTGTTCCACTGAGTTATAGTGGCATTTGTGATCTGGAGTAAAAAGCTCTTTATTTCCATGGGGAAGAGCCACAGAGGATCAGTTGGGAAAAAAGTTTTGGGTTTTTGGTTTGTTTGTGGTGGTTTGTGGTTGGGTTTTTTTATTTTGTTGGGTTTTTTTGTTTTGTTTTGTTTTTTGGTTGGTTTGGTTTTTTGGGGTGGGGGGAGATAGCAATAATATTTTTCAGGAGAGGAATATATTGTCCATGGTTTTGTCTGCAGTCTTGTGCTCAGAAGGTGGGAAACCCCTTGAGACTGTGCATTAATTGCAATTTCAAACAATAAACTATCCAGCTATATATTACCAGATAGTTTGGAGATCTTTGAGAAAAGCCTCTGTCCTCATCAAAGATGGCTAGGTTTTTTTTGATGGGGCCAGGAAAGGAGTGAGATCTGTGTAAACCTGATTTGAAATAATTAATTCTGTACTTGACTGAAAATTTACAAAATCCTGAACTCTTCTCATTATGATTAGTTATGCTGAGTTTAGTAGCTTAGAGGGTTACAGCCAGGTAAGAGATAGATTGTAATTAGCTATAGAAATTTGATGAGAAACTTAATTCAGCATTTTAGAAAATGCTGTTGCCTAAAATTATCTAATTCTGGACTCAGCATTTATGATACAGTTGTATTTAGTTTTGCCAAAATAATTCCTGGCTTTCTGGACTGGTCAGTTAGCTAAACGACACTTATTAATAACACTTATTAAAGAGTGATACAAGAACAGGCATGAAACAGCCAAAATAATCTGTACTGTTGACAGTGCTCTATTTATAAGTAATTGCAGGCTCCTCCTTCAGTACGAGGGAAAAACTGTTAAATTATGATGACTAACCTAGGTTTTGAGGCAGTAATATTATCTAGACAATTAATTTCTATTATTCTATTTCATTATTTTTAAGAGTTTTTCATTAATAATTTGTTTTTAAAAAATCTGTTTCAAACTGAAAAGCCAATATCATTTATAGATACACTTTTTAAAATACATGATTTTTAGCAACATTAACCAGTTTTGGCTGCAGCACAAGTGTTGTTCCACTAAAATTATTTTGTTAGTGTTTACTCAAATAATTTTTTAATCCTAATGTAGGAAGATTTCAGGCTGTAAGTTATCAGAAGAGTAAATGCCATGTTGGTGGTAAAATCTGACTTAGCCCCCAACACCAATGTTTTGTAGCCTCCTGTAGTTAAAGTATCTTACAGATACCTGTCTAAAAATAGTACACTAGAGATATTTTGAAGAAAATTAATGGATACCTTTTTATATAGCTCGTACATATATATATCCAAAGTTTTTGTAGTCACTATGTCTACTTCTGAGGTTAAGACCAGTAGTTTTCGAACAGCACACAGAAGCAAAGCATACATGTAGGTCTTCAGGGCAGATACAGCATTCATTTTATTGAGGCATAAATTTGTTAGGTTTAAAATCTAGAAAATTTTTAGCTGTACTGTGGCTTTGTCATTCCTCAGAGTTATAGAAGAGACTCCAACTATTACTCTAGCATGTGTGCAGATCTCTGTAGATAAGAATACACTTTTTCTGCTCTCAGCCTAGTTATCCATCACCAAAACCATTGTGCATCTAAGGAAATCTAGAGAAACCCACAGAATCAGCAATTTTATTTCTATTTAGACTTGATATTACCCTTTTAAACTTAGAAATGCCTCTGTTCTTTACAAATGAGTTTCAATATTAATGTGGAAGCAAGAGAGTCAACTGATACCTTGAACAGCCAGACTCCAAAGACATGCCTAAAAAAATCCTTCATTTTTTACACACCATGAATTGCAGAAATCTTAGTGATTTGTTACACATTTGTTACAGACTAAGATGTATAAATATATATATGTACATGTCTGTGTGTATAACCCAATGGTGAAGGCCCCATTTATCTCAGATGAAATAAGGGCAATGCTCTGAATCTCCTAAATACCATGTCTGTACTTTCACTGGTAGGATGATTGAGAGGTAAGAGCTCTCTTCCAAACTACTTATTCTTTTACAAGAATTCTCAAATTCAATAACAGAACCATTGAAAAACATTTTTTAATGCTTTATGGACTTTTGGTTATCCATTTGGCTGAATTGGAGAACTCCCAGTGTAACAGAAAAGAATCTGTCTGTAAAGTTACCTTGTTAGTAAAGGAGCCAGGTGGCTTACTGTCAAATGTGATCTTTCTAATGGCATATTCAGTTATGCTGGCTTCTTTTGCTTATATGGTACAATAAATAGCAATACATAATATTTCTCATTTGGAAAGCGATTTCATGCACAGACCCCATTTAAGAAACCTGCATTACTTTTATACTGAAACCTTAAGTGAGAGAATTTGCCAGAGATGACAGTGGAGTCCCAAAGCAATTACATCCAAAAGTTTAACATCGTCGTGGTATTGGAAGTGACTGTAGCAAAAGAGGACGAATTTTAAATATCTGTGAGAAACCAGCGCAGTGTATGATTGTCGCTTTGCCATACTCGGCGTTGGTAAACTCTGTCCGTGCACGTTGAGCCATCCGCAGGAGCACCTTGAACCCTAATGGAGACCGCCTTTCTCCGTCTGAAGGCAGCGATTTGAGCGCGTTAATACCCGTAAGAGTAGGAGAGAGAGCACTTGATTTTATGTTGTTGAAGTGACTTTAGCTCCAAACTAGCATTACTTGAGGAGTCGTATATTCACCCTGTGTGTGTGGTGTTAGGGAGCCCGGAGCAGTTAATTCGACGTATCCGCGGGAGCGCGGTGTTCCCCCCGGGGAAATGCGGGCTCCCGACGGACGCGCTCTCTATCCCTGCGGGCGTCGAGGTGTGAGACCTCCCCTCCTTTCCTCCCCCCCCCTCCCGTTCGCGGGAGCGCCCTACCTGCGGCGGGGCGGTGCAGGAAGGGGGCGGCGCGGCGGGGCGGCGGTTCCGGGCAACGTCGGCGGGCGCTGCGCGTTCCTCGCACCGGGACCGCCGCCCCGCCCATGGCCGCCCGCCAGGACCCCCTGCCCCCAGGTGAGGACCCCGCCGCGAGCCGGGCGGGCGGAGTGCACCAGGGGCGGTGGCGGCTCCCGGGGCCCCCACGGGTCCGGGACAGGCGCTGTGCGGGGCGCGGCCCGCCGCGACCACCTGCGGGCTAGTGTGACCCGGGGCCGCGGCTCAGGGGAGCCAGGTGAGGAGCGTAGCCCCGGCTGGGATAAAAAGAGTTTGCTGGTTGCTCCCTTCCCCCTCCGCACACGCTAATTAAGCGCGGTAATAATTTATCATGTGCTCTGCTGATGTGATTTAGTACAACCTGTCTTGTCAAGCCTGCTACAGTGCTTAGCGTGTAAGTTAGTTTGCGCTAGTTAGCCGCACGTTAAAAAGACACTTGTAAAAAGACATTTTCTTAGGATCCCAGAGTTTGGGTGGTTAGGAAGTCCACACATTTTAACTTACACAGCTAATGGAGCAAATGAATTGAGTACCTTATCTGAGGTGTGCCAGCATCACAGTTTTTCCCTACTTATCTGCTCAGACAGGGACAAAATATTGAGTAGTTAACAGTTAAAAAAACTGCACAAGTGCTGATGGCTAGGATTTTTTCAGAGAGCTGATTATTCTGATACAATTTGCCATATTTCCTCCTCTTACTAAAATCTGAAATTGAGGTGCTTCTAGTCAAAGAACCATTATTGATTTGAGTTACAGGGTTTTCATCTTTATTAACAACATTAGTATTAGGGTGATAACTTTGTTTAAGTTGTATGAAGTTGAACTATTAATGTGTGTGCCCAGCCTTGGTGTGAAAGGGGTCTCTTTTTGTGCATGGTTGAACTACCCAGCTATGGTCCACCTTATATGTTTCACTCACTGCTGATAGTGTCAAGGCTGTGTTGCAAGGAAAAAACTAACGGGGGGGAATTCCATCTGTGCTACATAGTGCTTTGTGAATCCCCTCTGCTTAAAGGTCAAAATGCTGAGGTCTATGAAGCTCACCTTCAGGCTTCCTTCCAATGCAAAGATGAAAAGCAGATACAGAATTGACAAACTGTTCGTGCTGGTAAGTGCACAGCACTGCATCCCCATTGGAGTAGCAGTGTTGAACAGAGAGCAATGGTGGGCATTGGTACAAGTCGGCTGCTCTTCGTGCAGACTGGTTATACTGGATGGGCCCAGGCAGAGCTGTAGCAGCCGCTGGGCAGTGTGCAGGTGCAACAGTGTGCAAGCAGAAATGAACCTTGGAAGCAACCATCGAACCTGGCTTATGACTGTCCGAGACAATTTGCATGTGCTGATTTACGTCCATCTGAGTCAACTCACTTGTGGTTCCCTGTAGAAGAGTGGGGAAGTAAATGTAGGCCAGTGGCTGTGTGCTGTCAGTGGGGAGTACGGTGATAGTGATTTTTTTGCGGGATTCCAGGTAATTGTATGAAGCTGTCTGTGAAAGTAACTGTGAAATCAGACAATATGCACTGAATAGTCAGTCAGATGATACCTTCATTTCCTGTTGGCCTTTCAGCATGCAAAACTGTGGATGGTTTACATTTGAGATAAACAGAGAACATTCCTCCCTGCTGCTTTGTGCACCTGTGCCCAGCTATATGACATGAGCTGCAGAATGTTGTGCGAGATATATGTGGGAAAGAGAGAGGGGACATGGCATTTTAACTGTGTTACTCACAATTAAATATTAAGTCTGGTTTTCAGATTATCTGCTTACTATCAGTGGCCAACAAGACCACAGTGAATCATCTGCAGCCCAGTATGTTGAGTCTTTAATCTTAGGTATAAATATTCATAAACATACATACCACTTATAGAAAATGTTTGGACTTGGTTGTACTCTGCAACCTAAAAAACATTGAAGTCATTGTTCATCATGAAGAACTGTAAAAAAAGGGAAGAAGTTAAGGTATAGGAAAAGAAACAGAGTTTTAAAATATTTTTCAGAGTGGATACTAAGCAAGAAAGATGCAGAGTCATAGATTCATGTGAGTGTGTTTCTGAGTGAACCTAGAAAGCAGGAGTCAAAGATACCACATGGGACCCCATCACCTCTTGTAGAGACATCCTGGAGTTTGTCCAGTCCTTGTTTCAAATGCCGGTATTCTCGGAGCTTCTCCCATTTTTTCAGTGCTTCCCTCTGGATCATAGAAAGTGAGTTACCAGTGCCATAATGTACCTTAGTCATATCTTGGAGGTGTAACAGAGGATAGGGGATGAAGCTCTTACCATAGCTACATAGCCAGCAAGGTTCATGGGCATTCTATGGGGTCTGCTTTCATCTGCCTCAAGGCTCCTCTTACATTGGTTGCATGCTTTGCCATTGGGTTTGAATGGAAAAACAGGGAGACTAGGGATGCCTGGGTTGGCCTTCTTGCCTAGAGCCTTTGGTTGCCACTGCTTCATTGTTTTCAGCTTTCCTTTACAGTGTGGGCTTCTCTTTGCCCCAGCTTCCTTTCCAGTTCCTCTGCAGCTTTCAACTACAGTTCCCACAAAGAATCTCCATTTTTGGCCCTACTTTTGTGCAATGTCTTATGACAACTTATTGTATTTTCTTATATCCCGCTGACTCTCATCCTCTCTGCATTTGAATTCGGAAGTTTATGTGCTTCAGTTTGTGCTGACTCTTGCTATCGGGGAAGGCTTTATCCAGATCATTCTGTTAATATCATGTTTCTGGAGCAGGGATTTCATATTTACCAAAAGGGGCATGTGTGACAAGAATATAGGGTTTTGGTAGGGTTTTTTTTTTCCTCTTTTGCATATGGCTTCCTAAACTGCAGTGTGAACAATGCTCATCTGAAATTTCAGTCTCCTGCCTTTTCAAAACATTCAGTGTGTCTCTGTGCAAAGACTGTGCTCAAGCCTTGTCGTCTGACCCCTTTGATCACGTGCCACTTGCCTGGACAACGCCTGTGGATTTCCTGTGGGCTCTAGTGCTGAGAAAGGCTCTGCCTGGCATCACAGAGAGGAGCTGGGCACCACACTGGACACCCAGCAACTGCTGCTGGTGAGGCTGCCTCACAGAAGCAGGAGGGAGAACAGCTCTATCCCACTGCTGCCACCTTTTTTATTTTCAATATATTGGACTGTCTTGCATTTTTTACACTTTAGCTTGTTCTATTGTGTTGAGTAGATTTGTAGCAGTGGGTTCCAAAATAAAATTATGCTAAATTTGAGTTGGTTAGAATAATGTCTGTGTAACTTCTGTACTATTTTGGGGTTCAGTGTTTCTACTGTTCATTTTATAGTTAATTTTTTGGACTGCGTTCTAAATGCATTACTTTTTATATATGGGAGGAGGTAATTGCCAAATATTGATTCCAATCACCTCTTACTGGTTGCACCTGAAAACTTTTAATGTGTACTTGTAGTAAGTATAAGGACTTTGAGTGAGAGTGACAAAAATGGAATGACGATCTTACTACATAATTTAAAATGCTTTTCAATTTTTGAGAACATTGATACTTATCATCAGAAGACATTTTTCGAAAATATGACAGGAGGATGTTAAATTACAGGAGTGGTTTTCTGAATCCTGACTTCTGTATAAGATTGTTTTAGATTCTCTGTGCACTTGTGGCAAGTACCTCCCTATTATTTGTCAGTGTAGCCACTGATGCAGAGGGGTTGACAGTTCATGATTCACCTGCAGGTACTTTGAAGACTTATTTTTTGTATTCCTTTGATGTTCATATAGTTGAAGTTTATTATTCTATTTTACACAAATAATATTTTCCTCAAATATGTTTTTTAATTAGGTTACTACAATCCGCTGTTTGTAATAGTATTAATTTTTGTTGTAGTGGGTATGTTTCCTGTTTGAATTATTTCTTTGAGGAGAAAATGGAGTGCTGTCACTGGAAGAACAGAACTCAGCTTTTAGAAAATTTACTAGCTTTTGTTCTTTATTACTGAATTGTTTTGTGATTTTTTTTTTTTTTAGCTAAAAATAGTTTTCATGTAAGTCTTTTTTTTGTTAGCTTAGAGTTGGGTTTTGTTGTTGCATGTAGTTTCTCGTCTATGTGCTCTGACATTTTCCAGTTTGTCATGTTTTCTTGTGGAAATGTAATGACATAATGCATGTAATGGCTGCATAGTTGTGCTTTATCTTGGTCAGACAAAGAAGCAAAATATGAATTGGCAGACAGAAATACTTTGATGATTATGTAGTGATAAAGCTTTCTTATTACAGCAGATCATGCAGCAAAAGAGCCAGTGGAGGATACAGATCCAAGCACTCTTTCCTTAACAATGGTATGTGTTTCTGGTCTAATACTGTTCAAATTATTATAGCTCTCTATGGTTATGTAATGCAGAAGTGAGGTAAAAACGTTCAAGGATGCTAACTCTAAACAAGGATTTTGCTTATCTGTATGATTGCATAAACGAATTTTAATTTACTAACCTTGTGCAGTTAAAGTGTAAATAAAAATACCAGTCAGTGCATCAGCTGAATTGGATGGTGTCAGCAGAGCTGTCCATGGGATAGCCTCCAGAGGCTACCATAGTGCCATCTTTTTAATTTAAAAAACTCCCAAGAACCGAGAAAAATTGGTGCTGACATTCTTCTGTCTATATAGTTTGGAGGGATAAGAAAACCCACCTAGGACCTATAATTTCAATTGTACTAAGCTGTTATTCCTTCCTGTGCCGGATGAGTTGAACTCGTGGAAAGGTAGTACCAAAGAGCAGTGCCTTTGGCAGGCACGGGTGAACCTAGGGAGGGACCAAACAGAGCCCTCTAGTGCTTACTGGCAGAGGAACATCGCTTAGGACAAGTGTCTTAGGATATCGAGCATGCCAGTCTTATGCTGAGGTAGGAGTATATCTGCTGGGGTAGAAGTAATATGAATTCTATGAAGTCTTTTAAATGTGGAGGTTTATTTTGTTTTTGGTTGGAGGTTTTTTGTTTGTTTTTTTTTGGGGGGGGGATTTTTTTCTTTGTTTGTTTGGTGTTGTTTTTTTAGTGTTGCTATGGATTATTTATTCTGGGGGAAAATTTACAGTGGCATGTACCCCAGGGAAGACAATTGTCAAATGTAGTTATGTAAACAGATTGAAATGCATTAGTTTATTTTATGAATGGCAAGTGAGCAAATTATTACTTTGTCTTGGTGTTTTCTTCCCATTTTGAAGCTTTGCAACAGGGACTCTGCAGGAAACTCTGAAAATTTCACTAGTACTTAAATGCTGAGGCTGCACTGCTATCCATTATTGCAGTATGTTTATTTGCATTTTTGCTTGCAGGTTTTAATAAAAACTATAGACTTGTCTTTGTTTTTGTGGACTGACTAAATTAGATACTGTATTTTGCTAAGGAGATTTTTTTTTAAAGGTGAGGGAAAGTTGCTATGTCTGAGACATGAAGTTTCTTTAACACACAACCCCACCATAAAAGATCTTTTAATCCATTTACTTGGTTATGAGCTTCTTTAAAAGCCTCACCTACTTTTGCATAAGGGTGAGGGTCATAGGGAAGGAGGTAGATTTCAGGCATAATAGTAAGTTATAACATGCCCAGAAATCAGTAACTATCTCCTTAGACTCAGTAACAATAATTTTCTATTGCATCTTAATTAACTATTTAAGTTTAGAAAAGAAGGGGCAAATATTTCTTTCTTTTTTTTCCCCAATACAATAATTTATCAAAAGCTCCTATCTGCTAAAAAAGCATTTTAAATCATCTCTGTTCCTCCTGGTATGCCTTACCTTTTCAAGATTATCTTGCTACTTAAGTGCAAAATTTCTTTCCCAATCTCTGCTATTTCACTAGAAAGTAATACATTTAAAAATACTGTAGCAACACAGCAATCTCTATTACTTTTGCATGTGCTAATCAAAATTGCTAGTAGCATCTCAGTTACCACGTAAGTAGTGTTACTCTATCTGATGGTGAACACATCAACTAGTAGCAACTTAAGTGATGCAACTATAATTACACGATTTTATATGCTCTTTCTCCAGCACAATTACATTTGAAATAACAAGTATCTGTGTTTCTTGCCTTTTTGTGACAGACTGAAAAATATCCTGTCCAAGACACAGGAGTACCTAAAGGTAAGTATTGTGACTTCTGTCTATTCAGGTGTCCTAGATATGTGTCGTTACGTGCAATAAAACCGGTGGTGTTATCCAAAGATTGAAACACTCATACTTTTTCCTAGATGTGTGTTTTAAATGTAATGTCCTCTTCTGTATTTTTAAAGTCAATTTGGTGTGTATATTTAACTTCTGAAATATCCTTCCAAAGTTTAGTTTTGATCTAAAAATCAGTCTAAAACTATCATCAGAAGATCTGGGTTCTCAGTCTGGAAGGAAAATACTTTGAAGAACAGTGCTTAGACAACAGATGGTAGAGACATCATTGTGTTAGAAGGTGGCTTTGAAGAGGTTACCAGTGCTTTCAGGTTGGCAGAAATAATAAATCAAGAAATACCCTTCAGGTCTTTTGCTTCTGATTGCATTCTCAGCCTTATAACCAAGCAACTCTTCGTGCCATCCTTTGCCTTCAGTAGATGTTAATACCATCTACTTGGGACCCTACTATTAGGTCAACTCTTTACAGGTTGTTGCCTCTCCTCACTGAAAATGCAGAAAGGGAGGGCAGGTTCTGTATTGCACTGAAGTAAATTACATGGATTACACAGTGTGAATATCCCCTTTATGGTTTCCTTGACATGTGAGGTGGTTTTTTTTGTCATTCCAGGCTTCACCACTGGGCTTTGTCCAGGGAATGCCTGGGCAGGGGCTCAGTTGAGAAGGCCTCTGCAGATAGTGTGTCTCTGTCCTGTGTTGCACAGCAGGTCTGCAACGGGACAGACACAGAAAACTAAGCAGGAGCTAGTCACAATGGAAACTTTTGTTGAGGAGTGTGAGCAGTATATGACTGGGTTTAGAGAAAGGTCAGAGGTTATTTTGGGGACTTAAAGAAGCCAGCTAGAGGAAATGAGCATCTTTTCAGAAGTGATGCTCAGTAAGGAAGTATAACACAGGATGAAGACTTTGAAATCATAAACTGCTTTCTCCTTATTTGCAGCAGGTGGTTTGGTCATTCAAAATTGTTTTTTAGCACTAAAGCAATTACACTGTAGCATTCTTTTCCATGTCCTGTTTTTTATTTCACCCATGACATTAGGTTCTCCTCAAAATTAATTAGATAATTCCTAAATTTTAAATTTGTCAAAGTGGTTTGAAATCTGAAATTGCATGTTTTAAATGCATTTAATTTAAAAAGGAAAGTTAAGACGTAAGTAGAAATGTCAGCATGAAAGGAAGTGAACACAGTTTATATTTAGTTTTAGTTTCAGCTTCCTCTTGCTACGTGTAAGAAGATGGAAGTACTAATATAAAAATATAGCTTGACATTCCCCCTTTGTAGTTGAAAGTGATACAAATTCCTCTTAATATTCCATTCATTTCCATTATTTCAATTTTTTTTCTGAGAATGACTTTTCATAACTATTTCTGTAAAAATACAGACTTAGAAATATGAACCTGTGAGATAAAAGGCATAACAGATGTGTAGGTCTGATTCTGTGTAACACACAATTATGTTTGCTTCAGATGTAATGTTTGATCAGACAGTACATTGGTGAGAGTGACTGTTGCTTTTAGAGCTCAATTAATTAATGGGCCATTTTGAGTCCATAATTTATTAAAGTTCTTGGCACCCTCTACTGATTATGAAATAAAGGGGAGATATGGGAACTTTTTATCTTGCAGGGGTAGTCTTAATGCTTATCATGATTTGATTATAATTCAACCTTCACTCAAATTTAGACCAAATTTCACACGTACTGTTTCCACAAATTTGATGCCCATGCTCTTCATATTCAGACAGACTTTTTTTTTTTCATTTTGTTTTTTTTTTGTCATTGTTTCTGGGCCTACAGTAATAAAGAATAACTATAAGCCTTACTAAACATTGACCCTGCTAGGGGTGAAATACTATTTGGCTTTAAGTTTCAACAGTCTTATAAATCCAGAAAAAGAGGAAAATAATGATTTTGGGTTTTTTTCTTGCAAGTGTAAGTGATTCAGATAAATTTATTGAGTGAGATAAGGAAATGTGTCTTCTTTCTGTTATCTGATGATTGATAAAGCTAATAGATATTCTTTAATGAGATCTTACCACTAGGCAAACAGCAAATGGAAATGTACCAGCACTACAAATGTAGTCAGCACCATGGAGCATTCATTTGTGTAAAAACATGTGGAATATAACCTCTTTTAAGCTTGTATTAATGGTTGGTTAGCATCTGACCCACGGGAATGATGGAAATGGTGTGATGAGTAGGACCTTATTAATCATGCTGAGTGGAATTTGTCTATTTGCACAAGGTTCACAAAGGGTTTATGTATCCCTTCTGTCCCATTTTGAGGGCTGAAGTGATGCCTGAAAGGTTAATAGAGTTTGTGCTGTAATGGGGAATGCCGTGCTTTTCAGTGGAGTCTCAGGCAGTTGATAAACACACTTTGAAATGGATTATTTCAGTGCTTCAGAAAATTCCTGTGCAGTAGAAATAAGCAGGACGAGCCCAGTTCACAAAGGGGCAGAATAAAAAGTAATTATTTATGTGGTATATATTTAAACAACTGTCACTGTGTGATGAGAAAAGCAAAACAAAAACTATAGTGACTTGTGATAATCATCCTCAGCCTACTTTGATGTATTTATCCTGTAGTCAGCTTTCTGAAAGAAGAACATGACTCTTGCTTTAAAAGTAGTGTGGTGTTTGTTTAGAAAATAACTGCTACTCTAATAGCTAATCTCTGCAAGGATTATATTTCTTTGCACAGTCATGCTCTGCATTATTGTTACAATCTCTGCTGATTTAATATTTTCATCTTTTAATCTAGCAATTTCCAGTGCTTGATCATGATATGGAGTTAAATTTTGTGTGTTAGACACCTATAATTTATGTTTGATAGTCTTACTATTTAAATTTGTATTTGAGTGGAAGACCAGTGTTTCACACTCTTTGTCTTAGATGAAGAATACCTTACAGATCAAGTTACATTGGAAATTGCATCTGTGAACATCAAGACCCTTACACCAGATTCTAGCCTAATCCAACAGGTAAGAAAAATGATACTTGAATATGAAATAAGTTATTGCTCTTAGATTAAGTATTTTAACAAATAAATATATTTTCAGATTGTATCTGGAGAGCACAGAATTACTCAGTAAAAGAGACCAGAAATAGGCTCTCTTTCCAAGCGTTCAATGAAGTGAGTTTTTTGTGGAGAAAAGCAGAAGAAAGGTTATTTTATCATTAACATACACTTTTTAGTTTAAATAGGTTTTGATTAGTGTGTAGATGCTCTGAAGAAGAGACAGCAAATAGTTAAGGCTTTGTCATGCATGCTGTCCCTCTTTCCTGTTGAAAATAGAGCCAGGGCAGAGAATAAGTGAAGAAGTAAGGAATCCTAGGTTTTGCCCTTAGGGAGGCATTTGACCATTTTGCTTTGATTTTGGGACACTGCTCTTCCCATAGTTGAAACACCCTCCATTATTTGTGACATCTTACATTGCCATAGAATGGACAATACTGAGTGACTCCCATGCTCCATGGTTATCATATTTCAAGTGAATGTTATTTGCTGAATTTCAAATTGATTCTCTTTGGGTTGAGCAGAAAACTTGGAGAAGAGAAATGAATGAGCATTTTCCAGCGAGACGAAGAATTAAAAGGAGTTCCTTATGCCAGAGTCCCAGCTGAATTTCATCAGAAACAAACATGGGTTTGGTATGCATTTCACAGATGATGGAGGTAACGGTTCATTCCCATCATCAAGAAGAGAGCATTTATTGACAGCTTAGAATCACTATAAAGATAATTCAGTGTATCAGGGTGTTAATGATTCCACAGAGCTGGAAAACTTTCTGCTTACCTTCAGACTGTGCTTAGGTTTATGGTTTTGATTAGATCCATAGAGGTTGAGGATCTTCACTGTGGGCTTAAAAATGCCTTCATTTCATGGGCAGTAACACTACATTGTCTTATTGCAATTACATTACAAGAAAATTATCTTGAATAAACCCGAGTGCATCTGACTTGATAAAAGTGGATAATGACTGATTGGTAAAAATATGAATTTTGAAAACAGATGTATGGCACAGGTAAGTCTCCCTGCTTTACTTTGTACATTTTGCCATACTGCCCACTCTTGTTAATTTTTTTATCACAAGACGTGTATAATGACATAAAGGCATTTAGGCATCAGCTTTCACAATACAGTTTGAACTTTCATGAGTTCATAAAGTCCAAGAAATGTTACTGAAGGTCAGGATAGCAACTAAGTGAACAGCATCTGCTTTTTTTTTTTTTTATAATTTGCTTATTTGTGTCTTTTGAAGTAGATCTCTGGGGAGGCTGAGCTGTTCTGGGAAGTTCATCTTTCTCCCAGTGGGTTATCCTTCTGGGAGTTTGCTCCTCAGGGCTCAGTAATAATATTCTGCTTTTTTAAGGAATTTGTGGGAGTGGAGACAATGACTATAATCAGGATCTTTATATTTAGTTTTTCTTAAACTTTGAGTGCTCACGTGTTGCCATGAAGGCCAACTTTAAGTTAAAAAGCATTGTCCAGGTAAAGCTGTCATGGAGCCAGTGGAAAAGTAAACTAGTAGAAGATAATGGCAACGCTTATCCTGTTGCAATTGGCAAGTGCAGTGTTAGATCTCTCTTCAGCAGAGAGCAGACATTTTGATGTTGCATGTGTGATCTTGACGTTTTCAAGGAATAAAGAAATGCTGAAAATAGTATGCAAATTTTTCCTTTGTGAACATATGCAAGTTCACCAAAACAAATGGAAGTGCCTATATTCTATTTTTAATGGATTTCTTAGTAAAGAGGGTGTAGCAGGTAGGAATAGAGTATCTTATTACACCATATTTTTACCCATATAATGACTTGTGTTTGCATGCACAACTTGCAAAATGTTAAGAAGCCTGCTGTGATAGTTTTGGAAGAATGACGCAATACAAAAAAATCAACAATACTTTGCTGCAGCTATCTAAGGGGAAAATCCCCTTCTGCTTTCATCTTTAAATCCTCAACAGAGGAAAGCTATTTCACCTGGCTCCACACCCACATAGTTAAAATAAGGGGAGTTGCAGTTTCCCACAGTTCTAGGATCAAGGGCTGTCTTCCAGTTTTTAGTTGTTGCTAAGTAGTTGAATTTTAAGGTTGCAACGTGTGTTACAGTCTTAAGTTGCTAAGAAATTTCATTATGTTTAATTAGCAAGCGAAAAACCACTGGGGGAATGTTTACTTCTAACAGGAGGAGGGTTAGATCTGAGCCAGCAGAAATGTTCAAATCAACATGTTGCCTAAAAAAGCTTCCTATGTGTGTAAAGAAGTTTGTAAAAAAAGCTCCCCCACTTTTCCTGGATCAGTGAAACAATCCCTCACTACTGCATTCAACAGGCAAAATCCTTGTTTTTTTCTCATTACAAAACATTTAAAAATATTTAGTCAAACCATATAAATTGTTCCACAGCTGTTGAGGATTAAGAACAAATTATTCAAAAGATATAATGCTATAGCATATCGTGACATTGTTCAGTGAATACAATCAACAGGGTAGTTCTGTGAGCCAAAGCATGGAAATCCTGTCTGAGAAGACTGCAGATTGTCAGGAATTCCTCAGAACATTATATATTCCCTGTCTGACTTTAAAAGAATCCCAAGCTACTTGTAAGTAATCTCTTGCCAGTTGCAAATTAGCCAAATAGCTATTCTGGTATCAAGTACATTGTTTTATTTTGATTTATATTTGTTTTCTGCTTTGTAGCCAGAAGACAAAGACACGCAAAACCATACTGACGAATCACTTTCAGGTAACGTGTCAGCTTTCTTGTTCTACATATTTTATTCATAGATTTCCTTTGAAAGTACTTTATTAAAAATTGCTATTTGTCATAACCAAGAACTGCCTGAGTAACTAGTATTAGTGGACCTCATTTCATGACCTGTGTCATTTACAGCTTCCCCTTTGTTCTGAGAGGTTGGTGATCAATAATGCAGACCATACAAAATGTGTAACTTGGGCTTTTCAAATGTATGTAGTACATATACTTTTAGAAGTGATCTGTAAATAGCTGTTGGGAGAGAGCAAGAGCTGGCAGTAGGCTGTGGGGGCTTATCCCATAACTGTATGAGCTCTGCTGTGGGAGGGGTGTGTATGTGTATGACATACAGTTCTCTCAGTCTAACAGTGAGAAACTGAAAGTTTTCTATTAGTAAAAGAAGCTTGTCCTATCATGTAGCATCAGGATCATGCAATTAGTTGGGTAGGTCAGTCATTTGCTTGTCAGTGTCTAACACGGGGCATCTTAGAAAAGCAGGATTCTTTTTGATGCTTTTGATAGTCTTGCAGATGGTATAGCACAAGAAGCAGGTTGGTTTAGTTTTGTTTACTTATAACTGTGCCCTTTTACAGGGGTGTTTTCTTTACCTCTTCTTCCCTGCTTTTATTGGAGGATAAAACTTAGTCTGGAATCCCTGCCAGAGTAAATAAGATGAAATTCAGATAGGGTGCTCTCCTGCCCTTTTTGCTCAGCTAGAACTTTGATTGGATTATACTCATTTTGCCTTGTTTGCATAAGTAAATGTTGGTATGAATGAGGCAAGAAAATTTTGTCTCACTTCAGCAAGAGCTTAGGGTGCACAAGAAGAACAGAAGAGTTAACATACATATTTCTCTAGAGAACAGCTGTAAGGCCTGTGGAATACCTGTGAGCAAACATGTCACCAGAACACGTTTACCCTTAACAGGGAATCTGAGCATTTGTATGAAGTTATGTGTCTGCAGCACTGTTGTTGCTGCGTGTCCTAACTTGTTGAAAACTCCAGAAGTTGTTTTTGGCCTGCTAAAAAAGCAGCCTGATGAGCAGTTTTACAAAAATAACAATAGCCCGTTCTTTCCTTAAAAACAAAATACAAAGTGCATGCAGACACTGCATTCAGCTCACTATTTGATGGTCTTTCTGGACTTTTCACACCATCTGACAAAAATTACTGCAAATAAATTAATAATAATTAAAAAAAAAAACAAACACAAAACCCCACAAACAAACCACCTTAACAGATGCTGTTGTCTGTATGAGTAGATGACACTAAGTACCAGATTTGTCCTTTGCCAGAGATACAGCTCAGGCTTCTGATCCAGCACTTGTAAATTGTGTGTCACTGTTTTCTGTTGTTCTTAATCAATGTTTTGATTAATAGCAGCCCCTTTTTGAAAAAGTCTCATCCCAAGTAGGACTAGTTACTTCCCTATTTAAAGCTGTACAGTGAGGCTGGAGTACAGAAGCTTTAGAAAATGCTTCTAGAATGTGTCCATTTGGAGAGATCAAATTCTCCCTGCTTTCAAAAAGGAGCAGGGAGAGTTAACGTCATATCTGCAGCCAAAATGCTGATTCCATGTCCTACATCACTGCAGTGTTAAAGGTTTTGGTATTAGTGTTTAACTAGAAGTATGACTAGCACTGGATTCCACATGCTTTTATGGGCTATAAATATATATATTTGGTCTGACAACACCACATTGTTCACAGCGCTGCAGAGATACTGAATGTTGTGCGTAGGAGACCTCTAAATGATGATTTTTGGTATTTGATGCAGATTTTAGAACATATCACCACCTCCTTCCAGCAACTTGATATTTTTATTTTTCTCACGCATTGAAGAGTATGCACTTTATTCCTTTCCATAATGCACATTTCAAATGGGCTTCCTTGGTAGAATAGGGACAGCTTTTATTGTAGGAGCCCTTACAAAGCAAAGGAATGTTTAGCACTTTTTCATTGTGCTAAAGTACTAGGTGTTTGGAACTGTCAGAAGAGATTCTTGTGGGGCACGTATTTCATGTTGCTATGAAGGGAGCAGATCAGAAATGCAAAACCTTTTCCTTTATCCTACAACATGTATGCAAGATGCACGAAATGCATGCATAATCCTGTTGGTGATGTAGGCAGGAATTATGGCAAATTCGAGGAAGCAACATAGTTCCAAAAACACAAAAATGGAATATCCTAGCCCACACACTGCATTGAATCCCATGTCTTTTCTATAAAAGTATAAATATGGTGCTTTCAAAATTACTGTCCTTTTGATTAAAGCCACTGAGCATAGTGAAGAGAGAAGTTTTAGAAAGTTAATGTCATGAGTTCTTCATAAGGAAAGGCATTGCATGTCACTGTTCTGACTTCTTCAGAAGTGATTCACAGGAACATAATATTCTTCAACCATTTATGCTTTTAACTTTTAGTTCCCGGTGAAACCACAGCAATAGATCTTAACTTCTCCTCATGTAATGGTTTTCACTGCAGATCTCAAGAAAACCTGCAAGGAAAATGTCACCTGCTCCCTGTGCTTATTCCGTGCACCAACCATCAGTGACATGCTCAATGATGAGGACTTGTTGTACACAGTGAGGCTAAAGCTGGATCCCTGCCACCCAACAGTGAAAAACTGGAGAAATTTAGCAAGCAAATGGGGGATGACTTATGATGAATTGTGTTTCCTTGAACAAAAGCCCCAGAGTCCCACCTTGGAGTTCTTGCTACGGAATAGTGACCGGACTGTGGAACAGCTGATTGATCTCTGTAAATTTTATAAGAGAATTGATGTTGTGAAAGTGCTGCTGAAATGGGTGGAGGAGGAATGGCCCAAGAGAGGGAACAGAACTTACCAGAATGACTTCTAGGTCAAAGAAAGTTGTCAGTCTGTACATGTTAAATGCTGGGACTAGCTGCCACTAATACATTGGAAGTTTCCCTTGCAAGAGAGAGAAAGCCTGTACTGACAGTTTGTATACTGTGTAAGCCTTATCTACTGTATACACATATGTATGCTCTGTACCCTCAGGGTTGCAAAGATAGTATTCCAAAAGGAGAGGGAATCATCCAGGTTGTGTTCTTGAACCTACAAATTCCTTCAGCTTCTTTGCTGCTGTTGGTAGGCTTCCTAAGCAGAAGAGGATTGAAAAAGCCAGACTGCTGGTTTTACTGCAGCAGTTGTGAACCATGTCAGCTGTGTTCTGTTGCTATTGGGAAAGCCACAATTAGAAGGCAAGTCTCTTGGCCTTTCTGGTAACCCTTTCACAGTTTTGTCTCTTCTACCTAGTAGAAGATGAGGTGTATTTTTTTTCATTTTTTGGGTTTTTTTTAAGCTTTGTGATGCTGTTTTTGGCACAGGAACACCTCAGCGTTCCAAGCAGCAATTTGGATTTGCATGTTACAATTAATTCAATGTTTCAACATCACATTTGAGCAAGTTAAGCTTTAAGTCTCTTTTATAAACAAGAATATATTTGCCCTATGAAGAAATCATGCAATTCAGAGAGACTTTCCAACCCATAATCTCTAGGGGTAAAAAAAAACTAATTAAAATGCTCTATACTTAAAATTATTTTCCAAAGTTTTGAAGACAGTGTATACTCTGAGTGCAGGTATCAAATGCCTCTCACTTTCCAGTGTGAGAGGCTGTGTAAGCCTTATCACTCACAGGGTATCGTTAGTATTGACTATAACTTCCCTTTTCACAGGCTGTGGTTTTCTTCACAGTCCTGTGGGTTGACCTACTTTCTGCCCCACACCAAGGTAGTTGCACACCTGTGTGAAACTAGCACTGTGTATTGATTAGAGCCACTCTAATGGGAAATTACCAGGTGAATTCACCTACAGTCCAGGTGGATGGTTATTAAAGCACTTACAAGTGGTTTAGACTGATGTTTTTCAAAGGATTTTGATACTCTGAATTACACTGTTTACAATTTAAGTATTTCAGAAATTGGTCTTTTTCCTACCATTCTTCTGACATCTCAGACAATACTAGTATGTACATAGGTGTATATACCAAAGCACTGGTGAATGGTATGTCAAGACATGGGGTAAAACTAGAATGGGTTGCAGGTTGATACGCTGATTACTTTTCTCTAGTAGAAATAATAAGAATTAGTAGCAAAGCTGAGGGAAGTCTAATGCTGTATACTGACTTTCTTATTGTAAGAGAATGAAAAAGAACCTCTAGTAATACTTTACTGTAAATGCTGAGTGATATGGTTAACAGAGGGGCTGGAAGTAAAGATGAACATTTTCAGTGTCAGGCATTAGTTCTGGGGTGGCATAAATTAAGTTTATGTTAGTGACTTCCAGAAGCTGAAAATCTTGTTTCAAGGTGAAAAGAGTGACCTAAATTTGAGGTTTGAATTTTTTAGAAAAGTCTGGAATTTTTAATAACTTTTTTTTAATGATTCCTCAAAAAAGCTGCACCTGTTTAGAACTCTTTAGTTTTCTATCTGTATTTTAAGGAGGAAGTCGTACTGCTGTATCTTGTTGGGGCTGCAATTCATATGTTTTGCATTCCTCTTCCAGGTACTGGGGTTTCCTGATAGATGTCTGTTAACTCTAACTTTTGCAAATAATCTTCTGTCCTAAGTTAATGCTCCAGATTCAGCTTCGAGGACTATTGTTGTGGCTGGGCTCTTTGCTATTTTCAGTTCCTACAGAGGTATCCACTGCCTACATGCAAACAGCTCATAATGCAGCTTGTCCAACAAAATCCCCATACCCTGGGCCAACTGCATGCATGATTCAGGATTGTATGTCTGTGTGTTAAGTTTTTCCTCTGAGTGATGAGTGCTGGCATGTATGCCAAAGGCTCTTCCCTCCCATAACTTACCACAGCTATATGTGCGTGGTATTATAATATGCTTTGCTTTGGTAGATCCAGTCCAGCAAGGAGCTGGAACCCTCACCTAAGACTCAGAATGGGAATACAAAATGATGCAGCAGCATTCCTGAATCAATGTGTTCAACTGAAATCTACCCCTCTTCCCATTTCCTGGCTAAAACTTGTAAAATTTTTAAGAAATGATGATGTCTTCTGGAGATGAGCTGTGATCCCTCAAAGCTCTTGAAAACTCAATGTCAGCTGCAAGGATTCATGTTTAATGGAAATAAAGCTGCTTCTGAGAGTACATATGTGGATTCTGCATAAATTCAGCTCTGAAGGTTGAAAATATTAGCCTTAAACTGCACCACACACTGGATTTGTTAGTATACTTGAAATACTTTTCTTCCTCTTTGTATGTCGTAAATGGAGATGTACACACTTCTTTTTTTCTTAGTTTTATATCTTTTTACAAGATATTGGGTCTGAGTGTTCAGTTTATTCTTATATCTTCTGTTATAATGTATACTATTTTTAAAGAAATATAGATTGTCAATGTTTTACTTTATTGTTTTTGTTTTTATTACAGCTAGGAACACAGCTGTTTTCTTTCTCACCAGTCACCTTGGAACCACTGAAGTATCAACTAGTTGTGGGGTGTAAAAAACGTCTTATATATGAAATTCATGACTCCTTAAAGCACTTATGTTTGCAAGAGGTACTGCTGTTCAAGAAAGGAAGATGCATTTTTTAATCTATTCCATATGAAAAATAAGTTAATTTTGGTAAGATGATAAAAAGAGAGGTTTATCTAGACACTTGCAGTGGAGTTACTAACTATAGAGAGGTATGAAACCTATAGTGGATGAACTTTCCCTAAATTAATAACCAGTAATGGACACTAAAAAGGCTCTAATAGGCTATCAGTTTTATTCTTTTATATCTTTCTCCTATTCCCATATGAGACCTGCTCTCCCTTCAGGGATTTCCAGTTTTTTGGCTGCTATTTCTGTGCCTGGAGGATTACTAATGGCCTCTCCCACCCACTTTAGCTTCTATGAAACTGCCCAAGCCCCTGTATTCTCTCATTCCTGCAGCTTTGTCTAAGACCTAATGAGCTTAATAACTGTTCTTCCAGGGCAAACTTCCAGTGCTGTGCTCCAGGAGCACCAAGTTTTGCTGTGGGGCATTCCCAGCAAAACAGTGACAGTGTTCAGTTGCCTCACTCACTGCATGCACTTCCTTTTTATCTGTGAGGAGGAATGCAGGGTGGATTTGGGACTGTCCTTTGGAAGCCTACTGTAAAGGATAGGGTAGTCAGCATGGCCCAAGATGCTTGCTTCAAAATAAGTTGTACAGCAACTGTAAACCAGACTTCTTCCCAAACCACTACTGAATGACGGAGATCTACAACTCTGCCTGGGCAGCACTTTGTGCAAGAGACTGCATGTTTTTCACTGTCTCAAACTGCCTCCCACAATTCCAAGTGAAGCTGTTAGCAAGAGGAAAAAAAAAAGTAAATTCTGATATATGGTTGTTTAAGTTAGGCTGACTTATGGCCAGCCATGGTTGGAAATTATTTGTCAGACAGCAGAATTGTTTAAACAAGGTCAAAGAAAGTGCATGGCATTTATAATAACTTACAGAACAGCCTGCTTGTGTAATTTTTGCAGCATATCATGTTCTTCTGTCCATGAAGGCAAAGCAATTCGTTATTCATAACTAATTTCAATATATTTTGTAAACTTTAAGTTTTGGGTCAGTTTTGGACAGAAGGACAGAGCACCATTAAATGATGACTTGGGCTTGTTACCTGTTTTGACAGCAAAGTGCTTTGTCTAGCCCCTGAGTTCAGCTAGTCTTGATTGCATGGCTATAGTCAGTTGGCCTTAAGTAGATAGGGAATGTATGGATCTACTGGTCAGACAGGCTGAATATAAGCAGCACTAAGAAGAACTTATTTGGAAAGGTGGAGTCTGTAGTATTTGGTTGCCTCTATTTTTGTCAAGGACTGGGACTGATTCCATCTTAAAAGAAACTGATCACAAAGAGAAGTTTGCAGCTTTGGGAAAGGTTTGCTGTACTTTTTACTAGGGGCAGAGGGGCAGTTAAACTACTGGACAGACTTACTAGCTTGTTCGATCTCTGCATTTTATGTTTGTAAAATGGTGATTCTTGATTTCAAAGGCAAGTCTTTTGGATAAATATGTATTTGTTATTGTGGTAATGAGAGTCGTGGGATTCTTAAATGTCAGAGAGAGCTGTGCAAGTCTTGTTATGACGGAATCAGCAAGGTTGGCTTTAGCCTTTTGGAACATGAAAGAATTGCTGTGTTGAATTTTTTTCAGGCTTTGTTTACTGGCCTTCACAGTGCGATGAAGATGAAGATTGAAATTGTAGAAGAGATGAGAAAGAAGTAGCTTCTATTATAAATGATTGGTGAGAAATAACATCTATGGTGTTAATGTACTCTTTCTTCTGATGTATATACAGAAATAGGTCCCATGACTGAAAATCTTAGTTAATTATCTCTTTCAACTTTTATTGAGGAATTCCAGAAACAAGGCCAAATGTTTTAGTAACTTGGATAATAAATGTGTTTCTGTGTATCTGTGTACAGCATGAGATAGATACACAATTTTACATAGCCACATTAATGGGCTTTTTTTTTTCCATTATGAGTTTGCTTCAAAATTACCCAGTGTTTAGTTTGGGAATGGTTTTTTGTCTTCAAAAATAACCAGAGTTTGATGTTGTTGGTAAAAGACATTTACCCAATTATAAAAATCCTTAACAGAAAGAGCCAGGATGAGAAAGGGGCACCCAAATCTTTACAGTAGTAATAATATCTTGAATCTAAGCCGAGGATTTATTTTTGTCTTTGCACCCAATATATGTCAGCTTCCCCTACTTCAGTTCATTCACAATAAACACATTTTTTTGTCCTAATTTACTTTTGCCTCTGCTTTCTCTGAAGCGGAGGAGTTCACCAACTCAAAGGTCTATTGAAAGCCTGTTCTTCTCTAACGATCAGAAAACACCTACCATCTTGTGGTGAGAAGTGATACTACAGCCTTCTCACTTTTTCTTTGAAAATGCAGGAGTGTTAAGTGCAGGTGAGCTCATCTGTAACTGCAGAGACCCACCAGGGGGATGTAAGGGCAACTGCAATGCTGATGATGAAGGTGTGAAGGTCAAGTCCTAGGGATCTTGCCTTTGGTCACAGTCTCATCAGACAGTTTTCCCTTTTGCACAAATACATGATGTTGCTTCTTTCTTATCTCCCTAGGTAGGTAGGGACTGAAGCACTATGTGCAGATCGTGGCACAACCACCTGGGGGGGGTGTAGGGGGTTGCGATGCAGACAGGGACAGCTTTGCTCTAGTATCTGTTGGAAGAAGTGATCCTGACTACTTGAAAAATCCTAGAGTGTTGTGTGACTGATTTAAAAAAGAAGGGGTGAATATGTTTTAAGGGTTATATGGCTTAGAATGGGTTTTAAAAAGGACTGTTTACTTCTCTGTAACTTGTTTGTCCTTTGGCCCTTGTATCTCTTCTATATCTTGTTTGCTCTTATGATTCTCTTCAACATTTTGCCTTAAAAAGTAGGCATTGCAACAAAAAAATAGATTACTTATTAGTTTCTGAAGTGGCAGTAGCATTTTAAGCTTTTGAATGTGTAAGCCCATTAAAAAACCCACAACTTTTTATTTTGTTCCTTGTGATTTGTAAGCTTTAAACTGAAAACTGGAAGCTCTGAATGAACATTGGAGCTAAGTATTGACTTATCAAGGAATAGTTATAGAAGGCCACCAATTAACTTATAGCTAAATAAAAGCTGAGCCAGCTGGACTGTCAACTGAAATTTTAATGTTGGTGTACCAAGAAGTGGTGACTCATGTCCTGCTGGAATCTAAAGCCTTTCAAAGAAGCTAGGGGAATAATTTCCTTCAGAAAATGCTGTAATGTACAAACAGCTCCACTAAAACTGTGAAAGACACAACAGTGTCAGTCTTTTGAGATCATATGAAGTCCTTACACATAAAGTTTCTGCTGAACAGTACATTGTGTTGGATGCTTTATCCCTGTGGCCTGTAGTACTGTATTAACTAGGGGAAGAAATTACAGTTATTCTGGTACCACACAACAATATAAAAGAGATTAGCTGAGAGTAACTTTCGGTGGGGAGGTTCCTTAATGGAAATTAGTAGCCTACTTCAGTTGCCCCACTGCAAAGCTAGATAATGTGTGTATCCATCAGCTTTGGGCCAAGGATAAACAAACTTGTCATAATGCATATTTTAGATCTGTTACTAGCCTGTTAAGAACTCTTGATGGGACCTGCAGAGAGCCATTGAAGTTATTAGTATTGAATAGTCATAGTGGCAGATTACCATGTAAGTGATATTTGTACAGTTCTGGTTCAGGACAGTATTTATCTTGCAGGCTATTCAGACAATGAGTCATTAAAACATATTATATGCTGCTGTGGAGAGTGTTGTGGAGGCCCAAAAGTGGTATCCTTGACTTTAAAATGA